AAGAATATTTACACTGTATGAGAGAAGATCATTAAGTTTGAGGGGGAAGATGGACAATCTTTTTTTTCTTCCCAAGATCATGTCCTCCTCTTTAACTCTCTTGAAATTTTTGTTCCTAAAAGTTCTATAAAAATTATTGAGTACCCCTTCTATTCAACATAGTACTGGAAGTCCTAGCCAGAGAAATTATTCAAGGAAAGGAAAGAAAAGGCATCCAAATTTGGAAGGAAGAAGTAAAATTATATCTGTTCCCAGATATAATAATCTTATATGTGGAAAACAAAAGATTTCACCAAAAAACCTAGTCGAATAAAACAAATTCAGCAAAGTTGAAGGAAACAAAATCAATATGCAAAAATCTATGTATTATCAATGAACAATCCAAAAAAGAAATTAAGAAAACAATTCCATTTACAATAGCATCAAAAATAATAAAATACGTAGGAGTATACTTAACTGAAGAGATGAAAGACTGGTACAGTGAAAACTACAAAATGTTGCTGAAAGAAATAAAAAGACACCAATAATTGGAACAACATGCCCTGTTCATGGATTGGAAGACTTAATATTTTTATAATGTCAATACTACCCGAAGCAGTCTAAAGATTCAATGCAATCCCTGTCAAAATTCCAAAGACATTTTTTGCAGAAATAGAAAAATTCATCCTAAAATTCACGTGGAATCTCAAGGGACCCCCAGATTGACAAAACAGGATTGAATAAGAACAAAGTTGGAGGTCTCATACTTTTTGATTTACAAACTTACTCCTGTGAAGGAGACAAAACTTTTCTTCTACCCTCTTATGTTTAGGTACTGGAGGCCTGTGTATTAAAGTGCCAAAAATAGATTAACAGGAGAAAAGACAAAGTTTATTATATGCATATGGGAGTGTACAGAAGAAGTGTCTCGATCAATAATTAGAGATAGGGGTTTGTAACTCAATAGGGGAAAGGGAGAGAGAGGAGAAAAGGGATTCTATGGGAAGATCAAGTGGCTTCTTTAGGAAAGACAAATGAGTTTTCAAGGGAACAAATGGGAAATAAGAAAGGTTGTGCTGTTTGTTTATGCAGGTAGGCATGGTATTCTCCATCTTCCTGGGCAGTAAAACTCCCCAGAAAGAGGATTTATGGCAGTCTCTCTCTCAGAAATTTCTGTCCCTAGTAAAATAAGAGAAGCTCCAAAAAATCTTCTTTCTGCATCTGTTAAATCTCAAATGTCTTCAGTTTAAAATAATTTTTATGCCACAGTAGTATATTCTGGATGCCTTCACTCCTAAGCTGCAGTAATCAAAAACGTGTGATACTGGCATAAAGACAAACAATGGGAAAAAATAGAGAACCCATTAACTAGCCCACACATATATGATCAAATGATTTTGGACAAGGGTGCCAAGGCCATTCAGTGGGGTAAAGGACAGTCTTTTTAACAAATGGCTCTGGGAAAACTGGACACCTACATGCAAAGAATGAAGTTGGACTCTTGCCTTAACTCAAAATGGATCAAAGACATAAATGTAAGAACTACAACTAGAAAACTCTTAGAAGAAAATATACAGGAAAAGTTTCATAACATTGGATATGGCAATGCTTTTTTGGATATGACACCAAAAGTACAGGCAACAAAAGAAAAAGTAGACAAATTGGACTATGCCAAAATTTTAAAATTCTATACCTAAACGACACAATGAGTAGAGTAAATAAGCAACCCATAGAATGGGAGAAAATAATTTCAAACAATATACCTGATAAAGGGTTAATATTCAGAATATATAAAGAGCTGCTACAACTCAACGACAACAAAAGCAAACAGCCCAATGGAAAAAAAAGACAAAAGATTTGAACAGACATTTTTTCCAAAGAAGATATGCAACTATAAACACATGAAAAGTTGCTCGACATCACTAATCTTCAGGGAAATGCAAATCAAAATGAGATATTGCCTCACACTCATTAGGGTGGCTACTACTAAAAAAAACAAAACAGAAAATAACAAGTGTTGGCAAGGATGTGGAGAAATTGGAACGTGTACACTGTCCACTGGGAATGTAGAATAATGCAGACATTATGAAAAACAGTATGATAGTTACTCAAATATTAAAACTATAATTACCATATGATCCAGCAATTCCCCTTTGGGTGTATATCCAAAAGAATTGAAAACAAGACTTCAACAGATATGTGTACACCCACATTCATGTCAGCATTATTTACAAGAGAAGAAAGCAACCCAAGTGTCCATCAACTGATGAATGGATAAACAAAATGTGATATGTATATATATATATATACACACACACATATACATACATACAGTGGAATATTATTCAGCTTTTAAAAGGAAGGAAATTTGGACACATGCTAGACCCTGGATGAACCTTGAAGATATAATGCTAAGTGAAATAAGCCAGTCACAAAAAGGCAAATACTATATGATTTCACTAATATGAAGTAACTAGAGTAGTCAAATTCAGAGACAGAAAGTAGAATGGTGTTTGCCCGAGACTGGGAGAAGGGTGGAATGGGGAGTTATTGTTTCACAGGTATAGAGTTTCAGTTTTGCAAGATCAAAAGAGTTCTGGAGATGGATTATAGTGATGGTTGGACAATGATGTAAATATACTTAATTCCACCAAGCTGTACACTTAAGAAATGATTAAGATGGTAAATTTTATGCAATATGTATTTTATGACAATTAAAAAGTACTACTAAATCATTGAGGACCCCAAAGATCTTCTGTTTATTTGAGTTACAATTATTGATATATACCATAGTTCAAATTAAAGATGAGAAATATAAAGTGTTTAAATCTTAAAATAACATTAAAATGAAATATTTATAAGCTCAATAAATGTTAACATAAATAACATATTTACTAAAACTATATTAAAAAAAAAACCTTAGTAAGAAAAATGGCACTGTTTTACATTTTTGCAAATATTTATAATATCTGGCTTAATGGAGGACAGTTGAGTTCTCACAGCCTCTTTTAACTTCTGTCTTTTCCAATATGCTATTTTGACTGAAGTATATAAAGAAACTGTTGCCTCAGAAAGGTATGTATTTGGAAAAGATAGGAATATATTATAGAATTTTCAAATAACTGTAGATACTTTGATACTGTACAAAAACTTGACAAATGGCAGTTTCTTAAAGGTTAGTTATGAGGCAGAATCTGAGACTACATCAACAACTTTTTGTACTCTGTTACATTAAAATGGATTTGTCTGTCTTGTACCTTAAGAGGATCTTTTACCTCTGCATGATTTTGTAACACAAAGCATTGGTCATTTGAAAAATATTGCCTCATTGACTTTTGCAGATCTCTCAAATGTTGACATATGTCAGTACAAAATATAAAAAAATTAACATGTGTTAATATCAGCAACAATCTCATCAGAAAAATCAAGTACTGAGAAGCCATCATGCTTGTGGTGGCAGATCCAAGTTTTCCAAAATTATTGAATCTAGGCTGACCTAGTAATGGAACTGATTTTCTGAGTCTTCAGAGGGTAGGTCATAAGAAGTCTTGCAACTTCTGCCTGGCTCCCTTGGACTACTCATTCTGGGGAGTTCAGTTGCATGAAAGAAGTCCAACTACATCAAAACTGTCATGCTGTGAGGAAGACCAAACAAAACATGTATGGAGTGGTCACATGACTCAGCTTCAATCTGACTGCAACTATATGGAAGAGTCCAAGTGAGAAGAGCCCAGACGAGCTCGGTCAACTCACACAGCTGTCAAAGATAAATTGTTATTTTAAAGTCACTATGTTTTTGGGTGGTGTATTACAGAGTGGGATAACCAAAAAGGTACTTTCAGGTCTAACATACTGTCATTTCTAAAAATGTGCTTCCAAGTTTTTCAACAGTACTATTTGTGATAGTCTATATTATGATACTTCTTCTGTGCTTTTCACAGGGAACATCGAATTTCCTAATGGAAGTTAATGACATAATATGATCTGACTTACATAACTTCTATTTGCAACTAACTTCACAGAATCAGCTTTGCTCCATAAGGTAAGACATAAAAGTAGTACTAGTATTAGTGGTAATAATAATAATAATAACTTATATAGTAGTATATAAAATATATATAAACATATTTTTGTAAATATATGTTTATATATATAAGTATATAATTAATAACTCATATAGTGAAATATATAATATATAAACATTCTATATATTGTAAAGTATAAATCTATATTCCTATAAAAGTAAAAACATAAGTATAAACATAAATATGCTATATATTTTATATATCTCACTATGAGTTATTATTAAGTATATAAAATGTGTATTAAACATGTAATCTCCCTGATAATAATGTGTAGTACTATCTTATTGCCATTTTATAGATGAGAAAACTGAAGCATAGAGAATTTAAGTAAATTGTTCAAGGTCAAACAAATGGGGGTGCTGGAGTTCAAACCCAAGAGTTTAGCTCTGAAGTTGTTACCCCATGGCCAATAAACTGGCAAGGTCTTTCAATAACCAATTAATTAATTGGTTCCCATGTTTGCCTCTGTATATAGTTTATTGCAGTGTTTCCCAAATCCTATTGATCATAAGAATCACTAGGAGAACTTTTTAAAACTAGAGATCCTTGAGCCTCAGCTGAGAAGTGATAAATCAAAATCTCCAATGGGAAAAATCCTAAATTTCTGTTGTTGATGTCGTTGGAATGGAAATATTCCATTTTATTTATTTTTTATTTTTTAACTTTCACTGCTAGCTTTATGGTGCAGAACGAGGGGTGAGAAGCAACTACACCTCAGGAAAATTCCCAGCGCCCTTGGAGAGACGCTGACTGAGATGCTCTACCCCATAAAGTCCTGCTATCTGGCTGGATAAAGAAAAGGGTAGGAACCATCAGCAGGGGCAGAATCTTCATTCTCTCACCCAGCAGGGGAAACGAGATGCTTCCAGCCTCCTGTGCTGCTCCCTATCGATATGGGAAGAGCAGGCCTAGCATCAGCTCATGCTCCCCCAGATGTTAGTTTTTGGGGCCAAGCACAAAGTCTTTTGGCGGCCCTCCACCACCGCTGTTCTGTCTGTCTGCTGTAGGGGAGCCAGGGAGGGGCTGCACTCCTAGGAGGGGGCTGGCCTCTAGATCTGGTTTGCCGCGTTTGGCCAGGTCTTCACTGTGAGCCTTGCGGATGTGGCGGTACAGGTCCCCTGACTGCGTGTAGCTGCGCAGCCAGTTGCGGCACTTGTAGGGTCGCTCACGTGTGTGCACTGTGGCATGTCGCCGTAGCGTGTAAGAGCATGAGAATTTCTTCCCACATGTCTTACAAGTAGGAACGTCTTCAGTAAAAATCCTAAAGCTTCCTGGGGCTGCTTCATACTCAGAAGGCAGGTAAAGAGGCTCATGCAGAGCTGGGGAAGCAGGCAGAGGTGAGTTCACCAGTCCTCGATGATACTGCCCTGGACCTGGCAGCAAATGGTAGGGCAGGTGAGGATCTGAGGGCAGGAAGTGGTCACTTGGCCCCACCTCCTCCGGTCCTGCTGCCCTTGGCTCCTCAAAAGCCTCTGGCTGAGGTGGCTGTCCACCATACATTGCTCCTGCAGGTGGGAACAGTCCCTCGGGACCCTGAGGCTGTTCCTCTGACGCGTCAGACTCCTCATCGGAAATCACAATAGCTTCTACTTTCACCTGGACCAGCTCAGCTTCCGCTGGGGCTGGAGCCTGGGATGGAACTGGGGCTGGGCCTGGGGCTGCAGCCGAAGTTGCAGGATACAAGGCTTGCAATGGTCCTCCAGTAGCCCTCGGTTCTATTACCCTCAGACCCTCAGAACCCACATCAAGGGGAACCAGTGGCTCCACTGAAACTGTTGGGAGGCCAGAAGAAAAGCAGTTTGCAGGTATAGGCTCTGTGGAGCTACTGGGGCTAGCAAGAGAGACATCAGCCACTGGTGGAGGAGGTGCCCGTAGATGAGGTGAATCAACCTCCACACCAGGCTATTTAGTGTCAGCCCCACCGGGGACTGGTGGCTCATCTGGAGGACAGCCAGTAGGTGAGGGAACAGCAGGGCCTTTCCATTCCCGTTTGCCCCAAGGGCCTGATGTCTCAGCAGATGCCAGCGAAGGGTGGGGGCCACGGGAAGTGGTGGACAAAAACTCCAAACTAGGGGGCTGTGAGTTGGTTTCTTCCTCCTTCTTGGTACTATCCGCTTCTACTAGGGCCCAGGCTTGCAGCCGCTGCTTGCACACTTTGATGATATCAGTCATATGCAAGTAGCTGGCAGCTGCCAGCACATCCTCCACAGGGGTATCTTCCCTCAGGACCAGCTGGCCAGCGTACGTAAAGTCCAGAAGCAAGCCAAAAGCTGGGGCTGTGACAATCTCATTGTGGATACACACCAGATCCCTCTTGTCTAGTTCCAGCTCATTGTAGAAAAGCTGGAAGAATGGGCTGCAGGAGGCCAGCACAGTCTGATGGGCCAAGAACTGGGTGTTACCCACCATCACAGTGCAGTCACAAAGGAAACCCTGGGACCGCTGCTCTCGGAGCCTCTGCAACAGCTGCTGGCTGTGTTGTGGGAACTCCATCGCACCCCACGAGGGGACCTAGAAAGGTCCCCACGAGTGGCTCCCCACCACTGATCAGCCACCGAGCGAACTCCACCGCTTTCCATTTTATATGTATACATACACCACACTTTCTTTACCCATTCATCCTTTGATGGACATTTAGATTGTTTCATGTCTTGGCTATTGTGAATAAGGCTACAATGATAAATATTGCATATATATATAGTGGGATTACTGGATCATATGGAAGTGCTATTCTTAACTTTCTGAGGAACCTTCATACTGTTTTCCATAGTGGCTATACCAGTTTACATTTCCACCAAGAGTGCACTAGGTTTCCCTTTTCTCTACATCCTAGCCAAAATTTCTTCTCTTTCCTTTTTTTGATAACAGACATTCCGAAAGGTGTGAGGTGATATTTCATTCTGATTTTGATTCCCATTTCTTCAATGATCAATAATGTTGAACACCTTTTCACGTACTTGTTGGTCATTTGTATGTCTTCTTTGGGAAAATGTCAATTCAAGTCCTCTGCCCATTTTTCAATCTTATTGTTTGGTTTTTGGCTATTTAGTTGTGTATGTTTTTATGCATTTTAGATATTAACCCCTTATCAGATAGATGGTTTGCAAATATTTTCACTCATTCCATAGGCTGCCTTTACATTTTGATGACTGTTTCTTTTGCCTTGCAGAAACTTTTTAGGTTGACGTATTCCCAGTGGTCTATTTTTACTTTTGTTGCTTGTGCTTTTGGTATCATATCCAAAAAATCATTGCCAAGACCAATGTTAAGCATCCTTTTCTCTATATTTTCTTCTGGAAGTTTTACAGTTGCAGATTTTACATTTAAGTCCTTAATCCATTTTGAGTTAATTTTTGTGAGTGGTGTAAGATAAGGGTCCAATTTCATTCCTTTGCATGTGGTTATAAACTTTTACAAAACTAATTATTGAAGAGATTATCCTTTCCATCTTGAGTATTCTTGGCTCACTTGTCAAATATTAGTTGAACATATATGCATGGATTTATTTCTGGGCTCTCAGTTCTGTTCCATTGGTCTATGTGTCTATTTTTATGTGCATACCATAGTGTTTGACAACTATAGCTTTGTTTTAAATCAGGAAGTGTGATGCCTCCAGGTTTGTTCTTTCTCTAGATCACTTTGGCTATTCAGGGTCTTTTGTGGTTCTATATGAATTTTAGGATTTTTTTTCTATTTCTGTGAAAAATGCCATTAGAACTTTGATAGGAATTGCATTGAATCGATAAATGGCTTTGGATAGTACAGACATTTTAATAATATCAATTCTTTTGACCTATGAACATAGGATTTTTTTTCATTTATTTGTGTCTTCTTCAATTTCTTTCATCAGTGTCATATAGTTTTCAGTATATAGGATAGATCTTTCACTTACTTGCTTAAATTTATTCCTAATTATTTTGTTTTTGATGCTTTTGTAAGTTGGATTGCTTTATTTTTTCAGATAGTTCATTGTTAGTGTATAGAAATGCAACAGATTTTTGTATGTTGCTTTTGTATTTTGAAACTTTACTGAATAAGATCTAAGTGTTTTGGTAGGGATTTTAGAATTTTCTGTATACAAGGTCATGTCATCAGCAAAAGGAGACAATTTTACATCTTCTTTTCTGATTTCGATGCCTTTTATTTCATTTTTTTGCTGAATTTCTCTGTCTAGGATTTCCAGTACTATGTTGAATAGGAGTGGTGAGAGTGGGCACACTTGTCTTGTTCCTTATCTTAGAGGAAAAGTTTTCAAACTTCCACCATTGAGTATGATGTTAGCTGTAAATTTGTTATATATAGCCTTTATTATGTTGAAGTATGTTCCTCTGTACCCAATTAGTTGAGTATTTATCATGAAATGATGTTGAATTTTGTCAAATGCTTTTTCTACATCTGCTAAGGTAATCATATAACTTTTGTCTTTCGTTCTGTTAATGCATTCTTCATATTTATTGACTCGCATATGTTGCATCATCCTTACATTCCAGAGATAAATCCCACTTGATCATGGTGTATAATCTTTTAATATATTTTTGAGTTTACTATGCTAGTATTTTGTTGAGAATTTTTGCATCTATATTGATCAGGGATACTGGCCTCTAGTTTTCTTTTCTTGCAGTCTCGCTTTCTGGCTTCAGTATCAGGGTACTGTTGGCCTTGTAAAATGATTTGGGGAGTCTTCCCTCCTCTTCAATTTTTTGTAAATTTTTGAGAAAAATTGGAGTTAATTCTTCTTTAAGTCTTTGGTAGAATTCACCAGTGAATTCATCAGGACTTGGATTTTTCTTTGTTGGGAGGTTTTTGATTACTGATTCAATCTCCTTACTTGTTATTGGTCTGTTCATATTTTCCATTTCTTCATGATTCAGACTTGGTCAATTGTATGTTTCTAGAAATTCACCCATTTCTTCTAGCTTGCCCAATTTACTGACAAATAATTGTCCATAGTGGTCTCTTACAATCATTATTTTTGTGGTATCAGTTCTGTTTCCTCTTTCGTTTTCTAATTTTATTTGAGTCCTCTCTCTTTTCTTCTTGTTAAGTCTGGCTAAAGGATTGTCAATTTTATTTATGTTTTCAAAAGACCAACTCTTAGTATTATTGATCTTTTTGATTGTGTTTCTACTCTCTATTCCATTTATTTCTGCTCTCATCTTCATTATCTTCTTCCTTCTGCTAACTTTGGGCTTAGTTTGCTCTTGTTTTTTCTACTTCATTGAGGTATAAAGCTAGATTGCTTATTTGAGGTCTCTCTTTTTTCTTGATGTAGGCATTTAATGCTGTAAACTTCCCATTTAGCACTGTTTTTGCTGCATCCCATGAGGTTTAGTATGTTGTGCTTCCATTTTTGTTTGTTTTAGGATATCTTTTTATTTCCCTTTTGATTTCATCTTTGAACCATTGGTTGTTCAAGAGTGTGTTGTTTAATTCTACATGTTTGTGAATTTTCTTATTTTCCTCCTGTTACTGATTTCTAGGTTTATACTATTGTAGTCAGTAAAGATACTTGATTTGACTTCTAGTTTTTTAAAATTTGCTGAGACTTGCTTTGTGACCTAATATCTGACCTATCCTGGCAAATGTTCCAAGTTCACTTGAAAAGAATGTATATTTTGCTACTGTTGGATGGAATGTTCTGTATTGTCTGTTAGGTCCATTTGGTCTAAAGTATTGTTTGAGCCCAATGTTCCCTTACTGATTTTCTGCCTGGATGATTTGTCCATTGTTGAAAGTGGAGTTTTGAAGTTCCATACTATTGTATTGTTGTCTATTGCTCCCTTCAGATCTGCTAGTTTTTGCTTAATATATTTAGGTGCTTCAATCATATGTGTATGTATATTTACAATTGCTATATTCTCTTGACTGTGGACCCTTTTATCATTATATAATGACCTTATTTGTCTCTTATTACAGTTTCTGACTTAAAATCTATTTTTTTCTTATACAAGTATAGATACTCCTGCTCTTATTTTGACTTCCATTTGTGTGGAATATCTATTTCCATCCCTTCATTTTAAGCCTGTGTGTGTCCTTGAAACTAAAGTGAGTCTTTTGTAGGCAGCATATAGTAAAGTCTTCTTTTTTATCCATTCAGCCATTCTGTGCCTTTTTATTAGAGAATTTAACCCATTTATATTTAAAGTAACAATTGATAGACAGGGGCTTACTTTTGCCATCTTGTTTATTGTTTTCTGGCTGTTTTTTAGTTCTGTTGTTCCTGTCTTCCTCTGTTGATGTCTTCCTTTATGAAATGATCACTTTTCATAGTGGTAAACTTTGGTTCTCTTCTCTTTATTTTTTATTTATCTATTATTGGTTTTTGTTTTGTGGTTGCCCTTTGGCTTCCTTGAAATATTTGATATATATAAAAATTTATTTTAAGCTTATAATAATTTAAATTTGATTGCATACAAACCTGTACCCTTTTACTCCCCCTCCCATGTTTTATGTTTTTGACATTGCAATTTCATCTTTTTATATTGTGTGCCCATTAACAATTATTGTAGCTACAGATATTTTTAATACTCATATCCTGCAACCTTTATATTAGAATTAAATGGTTAACACACCATCATATTACAATATTAGAGTAATCTGACTATATACTTACCATTACCAGTGTGCTATGTTTTCATGTTAATAGTTAATGTCCTTTCATTTCAGCTTGAGGATCTTCTTTCAGCATTTATTGTAAGGCAGGTCTAGTGCTGATGAACTCCTTCAGCTTTTTTTTTTGGCTAGAGAAAGTCTTTATCTAGCTTTCATTTCTGAAGGATACCTTTACTGGCTCAAGTATTCTTGGCTAGCACTATTTTTCTTTCAGTACTTTGGATATATCATCACAGTCTCTCCCTTAATTTGCCCTTAAGTTTTCTGCTGGGAAATGTGCTAATAGCCTTATGGGGGGTTCCCTTGTATGAGAGAATATTTTTTCTCTTGCTGATTTAGAAATTCTATCTTTGTCTTTGATTTTAGATAGTTTCTTATAATGTGTCAAAGAAGATCATTTAAGATTGAAATTTTGGGCTGATTCATTAGACTCATAAACTTGGTTTTTCAAATCTTGCCTCAGGTTTGGTAAGTTCTAAACCATTATTTTCTTAAATATAGTTTCTACTCCTTTCTTCCACTCCTCTCCTTCTAGGACTCCAATGATGTGCAGGGTTTTTTTCTTTTAATGGTGTCCCATAAATCCTGTGGACATTCTTTTTTTTTTTTTTTTTTTATTGAGTTATCGATAGGTTACAATCTTGTGAAATTTCAGTTGTACATTAATGTTTGTCAGTCATGTTGTAGGTGCACCACTTCACCCTTTGTGCCCACCCCCCACCCCATCTCTCCCCTGGCATCCACTAAACTGTTCTTAGCTGTGGACATTCTTTATTCCTTTTTATTCTTTTATTTTTTTTTTCTTCTCTGACTCAATGATTTGTCTTTGAGCTCACTGATTCTTCTTGTGCTTGATCTAGTCTGTTCTTGAAATTGTCTATTGAATTCTT